CCAGCGCGGGGCCGCGTAAGGGGCAGGCGGCGGGGCCGCAGGGGAGAGGGCGACCCGAAGGGTCGCTAAAACAAAAAAGGGCGCGCCTCGGGGGCGCGCTTCGGTGGGCCCAAAAAAAAATTCGGTCCTGGAGGGACCTAGCTCTATACCATGTGAAACTATGAGCAGAGGAATGAATTGACTAAGTCAGAGTTGGGTACAAATACAACCCTAGCAAACTGTACCCCATATGTGCTACCCCACTATAGCCTACAAACATGCATCAGCTATAATAATCTGACAGAGATGTGCGGCACCCATTGGGCTTGGGCTTCCGCTATCCGTTGGATTGATTGAAAGCACACAATGAGAGTCACCCGACGTAGCTATGATTCGTCCATGAATTTGCAGATGTGTGGCACAGATTCGTTTCCCTTCGTCCTCCCTTCGTCTTCCATTCTTTCGTTCGTGTTCCATTCCAATCTTTTCTTGCTGAGCGCGAATCCAACAGCAACTCGAAGGTTGGTCGTCGCTCCAAATCAACCACCATTCAGCACAGAACAGAAGCACCAGTACAGTACTAGCAAACCTGCCGTCTTTTGGGCCGTCTTTTGGGGAGGTTGTGCCCAATGTACAGTGCTTGTGTTCAGCTGAGAATCTCCTGCTACGCGATTTTTGTACGGCGCAGCAGAACATCACCGAGACCCTTCCGCCTGGACAGCTAATGACTCCCTTTAGCTCGAATTTGTCGCAAGAGTCAATTTTATTGAGCGTCCTTCATCCGATGCTGTTTTGTCCAAATGCTGGGGAGGGCGCGCCACGTCATCCGATGATTCCCTTCCGAAGAATTGAGCCCAAAACGAGAGCTCGCCGCGCAGCGTTCCTCCGCGTGCCGGAATCATCGAATAGAAGCATCCTGGGTACTGTAGACATCGAAGAGCCATGGCTCAAGCTCAAGCCGGGCTAGTGCATATCTTCTGCGCGGCGGTAGGACGTACTGTAGCGCCAGTACAGTACAGTACAGTATCGTGCCATCAAGGACGGCTACAGAAACGTGAACAACGATAAGATTCCAAGTGATGTTCTTGGGGAGTCCGAAACTGCCTCCCTCCAAGTTTCTTGGAGCTTGACGGTCGGCGTGAACCCGACGTCTAAACTGTTTGGATTGCGTCATGCCGCGTGCTGCCGTAACATTGGACAAAACCGATTTGCAAGGGCCCAGGGGATGCCTGCCATTGGTCACTGCGTGCAGCGCTACTGTTGCACCCGCAAAGGGAGGGCGGAAGGGCGGAGTTCCAACCGCGGCATCCGGCAGCCTAGGAGGCATCTAGGGCTGAGCGTACTCTGCCAGCCTAGGAGGCGGGACTGAGCCCGGCGGTGGAAGTATTTTAGCGATGGGACTTAACCCATCATCATTCCGGTCCACAAATAATTCCTTTCCACCCTTTCCTGCTTGACCGATTCCAACCGTTAAGCACCTACTCAAGGGCCTCCCCGGGCTGCGTTTTTCGCGAGTTCTCGCTTTCAAGAATCAGATCAGCCATGGCTGCGTGCGACGTCGCTGCGATGCAACGCTCTGGCCTCAGGCTTGTGATCGCTGCTGCGCTGGTTGCTCTCATGCTCTCAGGTATGCTCATTCCCTCACCGGCCTTGCGAACAGCTATCTGCGCTTGTAAAGTAAGTTAGTTAGTTAGTCAGCTATCAGCTATCTGCGTTTTTTTTTTTTCTCAGAATTTTCCAAATAAAACTATTGTTGCACATACATGTCTGCATAGTTCCTCGTAAGCCTTAACATCGCCAGCCCTCCTCTGCCCTTCCATCTTGACCATCTCCTCCACCTCCACCCCTTCCCACCCCTTCCCCCTCTCTTCCCTGGTCGGTGTCTCTGAAACAGGGCTACGGCGCTACTGCCGTGCGGCGCGGCTAAGGAGGGAGAGCGCCGTAGCTAAGAATAAAGAAGAGCGTTGCATCGGAAGGGAGAGAAGCTAGGCTAAGCTAAACCAACTCTGGAGACGTAGATGAGAGAAGATAGGAAGAAGTGATTCCAAGAAGATAGATGTAGAATGATCCAAGGATGAGATCATACAACAAGATTGGAGAAGAGATATTTATGCTAGGAAGGATGACACGCGGTTCGTAAGGAAAGCCCGTGTCGCCAAGCTTCTAGCATGACATCTTGGCATAGCGCCTTGATGCCATGCCCTGCTGGATTCTAGAGACATCGAATAGCTGATGAGGATAAGAGAGTAAGCTCCGAGGTTAACACCTTTCCCTATTCGGAGCTATCTAGGCAAGGGGAAATCCAACCGTTCGGGTATTCCCATGCACGCAGGCATGGCGAATCCCAACTTGTAACATAATTCCCCTCCCCAGGAAGCATCGTCCCGATGCTTACCCATGCTAACCATCCACACACCAAAATCCAGAGAACATCATTTACAAATACCAAAATTTCTAGAGATGCAAATCAGAAAGTATTTACAACTAAGCATGCTCTTCATTCTTGGTCTTCACTCTTCTCTATGCTTCAGCAGATTCAAGAAGAAACACAGAGGAGGAGATCGGCATATAGCTGCAGCCTATACTACAGCTCTTGCGGTCACTTACAGCCCTTAATCAATGGTTGTGGACAGTTTCCACTAAGCCCATGCTTCCTCAGCTATGGCGCTTCTTACTGAACGGCACAACCCATACCAAGCTGCCTGAAAGCTGGTGCTTTCAGCACGTCCAGCCATACCGCCAAATATGCCTAGGAGAGATGTAGAAGGTAAGGGGTACAAGCTTCCTTTCTAGCCAAGCAAACCTTGTGGATTCACTAAGGTAGTGAAATAAGGTGCTTCAGCTCTTTATATGTTACAGAGCTTTAGAATAGGAGCAGGGAAGTTTCTAGAATCAGAAAAGAGGAAAGATAGAATTTAGAGATATTTATGCTAGGAAGGATGACACGCGGTTCGTAAGGAAAGCCCGTGTCGCCAAGCTTCTAGCATGGCATCTTGGCATAGCGCCTCGATGCCATGCCCTGCTGGATTCTAGAGACATCGAATAGCTGATGAGGATAAGAGAGTAAGCTCCGAGGTTAACACCTTTCCCTATTCGGAGCTATCTAGGCAAGGGGAAATCCAACCGTTCGGGTATTCCCATGCACGCAGGCATGGCGAATCCCAACTTGTAACAGTCTCCCAGCGTGTGCGCCCAGGGCGGCGGAGGCCCTGCGCCTGGCATGCACGGATCGCAGCTGCGGCGCCAACGCGAGGTGCCTCAAGAGCGTGGCGGGCTGGGCGGACCGCGTGTGCGACAGGGGCTTTAAGCTGCTGCCCAACACCTCCTGCGCGCGTGAGTGCCTTCACCATCCTTGCTTGCTTTCATTCTTGAGGCCTCTCAGCAACAGGCTGGGTGGACTGCGTGTGCGACAGGGGCTTTAAGCTGCTGCCCAACGCCTCCTGCGCGCGTGAGTGCCTCACCTTGGAAATTTCTCAAAAGGTACTGCGTGTGTGACAGGGCAGAGGCTTCAAGCTGCTGCCTAACGCGTCCTGCGCGCGTGAGTGCCTCACCTTGGAGATTTCTCAAAAGGTACTGCGTGTGTGACAGGACAGAGTCTTCAAGTTGCTGCCCAACGCCTCCTGCGCGCGTGAGCTCGCCTTCACCCACCCTTCACCTTCACCCACCCTTCACCTTCACCCACCCTTCACCTTCACCCGCCCTTCACCTTCACCCACCCTTCACCTTCACCCGCCCTTCACCTTCACCCGCCCTTCACCTTCACCCACCCTTCACCTTCACCCACCCTTCACCTTCACCCACCCTTCACCTTCACCCACCCTTCAACTTCACCCACCCTTCACCTTCACCCACCCTTCACCTTCACCCGCCCTTCACCTTCACCCACCCTTCACCTTCACCCGCCCTTCACCTTCACCCGCCCTTCACCTTCACCCACCCTTCACCTTCACCTACCCTTCACCTTCACCCACCCTTCACCTTCACCCACCCTTCACCTTCACCCACCCTTCACCTTCACCCACCCTTCACCTTCACCCGCCCTTCACCTTCACCCACCCTTCACCTTCACCCGCCCTTCACCTTCACCCGCCCTTCACCTTCACCCGCCCTTCACCTTCACCCACCCTTCACCCCTGTGTTGCTTCCCACCTCCGCTGCTGCCCAATCCAGCGTCCTGCACATGAACTACTATCGCCCTTGTTTCCTTGCATGCTTCACACACGTGCCATTGCTGCCCCTCGTTTCAAACTTTCCCACTCCAACAATTTTGTTTTTCTCCTCTCCTGTGCGTACTCTTCTGTCCTCCCTCTCGTGCTGCTGTGTGAACCTGGCAGAATTCTGCACGAGTGCGGACTGTGGGGAGAACGGGTACTGTGAGGAGGAGCAGGGGGGGCGCACCACGTGTCGCTGCAACACTGGCTTCGCCCAGACCGCCGACGGCTGTGTTGGTCAGTGCTGCTTGCTATCCCGTGCTGCTTGCTATCCCGTGCTGCTTGCTATCCCGTGCTGCTTGCTATCCCGTGCTGCTTGCTATCCTGTGCTGCTTGCTATCCCGTGCTGCTTGCTATCCCGTGCTGCTTGCTATCCCGTGCTGTTTGCTATCCTGTGCTGCTTGATATCCCGTGCTGCTTGCTATCCCGTGCTGCTTGCTATCCTGTGATGGCATCCTGTGTTTGTGACCACAGTAGTCACCTTGCCTGTCCTTGGCTTTGCGCTGGAAGAGGACGGCAGGACACTTGAGTCAACGCAAAAGCTGTGATGGCATCCTGTGTTTGTCAGCTTGGCTTTGCGCTAGACAAGGACCGCAGGACTGCTGCTGGAGGAGGAAGAGGAGGAGGCAAATGTAGGTGTGAACTGCTGTTGCTGTGTGTGCTTTGCATTCACTGTTGCTGTTGCGATTTTTCTGCTCCCGCCGCTCCTCCCTCCCCTGGCAGACACGTGTGTGCTCCTGGAGTGCGGTGTGAACGGGCAGTGCGTGAAGGACGAGGAGGGGCTGGCGTCATGTGTGTGTGACGATGGCTTCACGCTGCGAGACGATGGCAAGTCGTGCGCTGGTAAGGCTGCTGTGATGGCAAGTCGTGCGCTGGTAAGGCTGCTGTGATGGCAAGTCGTGCGCTGGTAAGGCTGCTGTGATGGCAAGTCGTGCGCTGGTAAGGCTGCTGTGATGGCAAGTCGTGCGCTGGTAAGGCTGCTGTGATGGCAAGTCGTGCGCTGGTAAGGCTGCTGTGATGGCAAGTCGTGCGCTGGTAAGGCTGCTGTGATGGCAAGTCGTGCGCTGGTAAGGCTGCTGTGATGGCAAGTCGTGCGCTGGTAAGGCTGCTGTGATGGCAAGTCGTGTGCTGGTAAGGCTGCTGTGATGGCAAGTCGTGGGCTGGTAAGGCTGCTGTGATGGCAAGTCGTGCGCTGGTAAGGCTGCTGTGATGGCAAGTCGTGCGCTGGTAAGGCTGCTGTGATGGCAAGTCGTGCGCTGGTAAGGCTGCTGTGATGGCAAGTCGTGCGTTGGTAAGGCTGCTGTGATGGCAAGTCGTGCGCTGGTAAGGCTGCTGTGATGGCAAGTCGTGCGCTGGTAAGGCTGCTGTGATGGCAAGTCGTGCGCTAGTAAGGCTGCTGTGATGGCAAGTCGTGCGCTGGTAAGGCTGCTGTGATGGCAAGTCGTGCGCTGGTAAGGCTGCTGTGATGGCAAGTCGTGCGCTGGTAAGGCTGCTGTGATGGCAAGTCGTGCGCTGGTAAGGCTGCTGTGATGGCAAGTCGTGCGCTGGTAAGGCTGCTGTGATGGCAAGTCGTGCGCTGGTAAGGCTGCTGTGATGGCAAGTCGTGCGCTGGTAAGGCTGCTGTGATGGCAAGTCGTGCGCTGGTAAGGCTGCTGTGATGGCAAGTCGTGCGCTGGTAAGGCTGCTGTGATGGCAAGTCGTGCGCTGGTAAGGCTGCTGTGATGGCAAGTCGTGCGCTGGTAAGGCTGCTGTGATGGCAAGTCGTGCGCTGGTAAGGCTGCTGTGATGGCAAGTCGTGCGTTGGTAAGGCTGCTGTGATGGCAAGTCGTGCGCTGGTAAGGCTGCTGTGATGGCAAGTCGTGCGCTGGTAAGGCTGCTGTGATGGCAAGTCGTGCGCTGGTAAGGCTGCTGTGATGGCAAGTCGTGCGTTGGTAAGGCTGCTGTGATGGCAAGTCGTGCGCTGGTAAGGCTGCTGTGATGGCAAGTCGTGCGCTGGTAAGGCTGCTGTGATGGCAAGTCGTGCGCTAGTAAGGCTGCTGTGATGGCAAGTCGTGTGCTGGTAAGGCTGCTGTGATGGCAAGTCGTGCGCTGGTAAGGCTGCTGTGATGGCAAGTCGTGCGCTGGTAAGGCTGCTGTGATGGCAAGTCGTGCGCTGGTAAGGCTGCTGTGATGGCAAGTCGTGCGCTGGTAAGGCTGCTGTGATGGCAAGTCGTGCGCTGGTAAGGCTGCTGTGATGGCAAGTCGTGCGTTGGTAAGGCTGCTGTGATGGCAAGTCGTGCGCTGGTAAGGCTGCTGTGATGGCAAGTCGTGCGCTGGTAAGGCTGCTGTGATGGCAAGTCGTGCGCTAGTAAGGCTGCTGTGATGGCAAGTCGTGCGCTGGTAAGGCTGCTGTGATGGCAAGTCGTGCGCTGGTAAGGCTGCTGTGATGGCAAGTCGTGCGCTGGTAAGGCTGCTGTGATGGCAAGTCGTGCGCTGGTAAGGCTGCTGTGATGGCAAGTCGTGCGCTGGTAAGGCTGCTGTGATGGCAAGTCGTGCGCTGGTAAGGCTGCTGTGATGGCAAGTCGTGCGCTGGTAAGGCTGCTGTGATGGCAAGTCGTGCGCTGGTAAGGCTGTTGTGATGGCAAGTCGTGCGCTGGTAAGGCTGCTGTGATGGCAAGTCGTGCGCTGGTAAGGCTGCTGTGATGGCAAGTCGTGCGCTGGTAAGGCTGCTGTGATGGCAAGTCGTGCGCTGGTAAGGCTGCTGTGATGGCAAGTCGTGCGCTGGTAAGGCTGCTGTGATGGCAAGTCGTGCGCTGGTAAGGCTTCTGTGATGGCAAGTCGTGCGCTGGTAAGGCTGCTCTGTGCTGCTATTTTTGAGGCGCCTCTAAGCAAGGCTTCTGCTCTACTGTGCTGCCATGAGTTGGGATTTGAGACCAAACTGCGTATGTGACGCTGGCTCCACCCTGCGAGATGATGGCAAGTCGTGCGCTGGTAAGGCTGCTCTGCGCTTCCGTGCTCTTTTCTTTCCCTCTCTCTCCCCATCTCCCTCACTCACTCACTCTGCCACCGTTCCCTCTTGACCTGCGCCTCCCTGCCTCCCATCGTTGCTGCTAACATTTCAAATATCTGTGCATGTATGCCTGCATGTATGCCTGCACAGCACATACATGCTTCCAACTTCACCTGCACTCCCTGGCCCCCATTGTGTTTCGCAGAGAATGTCTAAGGGCTGCTGCCGTCTGCTTTTGAGGCGACTCAAACGCACCGCCTGCCTCCCTGCCCCCCGTTGTGTTGAGTTGTGTCTCGCAGAGAATGCGCCCAGGCCTGCTGCCATCGTCCTGCCACCTGCTACGAGCAACCGCCGCTGGTGGGTGCTTTGGAGCCGACTCAAAAGCCCCCTCCTCCCTCCCTGCCCCCCGTTGTGTTGTGTCTCGCAGAGAAGGCGCCCAGGGCTCCAGCCGTCGTCCTGCCACCTGCTGCTAGTAACTGTCGCTGCCCGCGGGGCCAAGAGAAGGACGCCGAGGGCAACTGCGTTGGTGGGTGCTGGTGTTGTCAGAATAGAGAGGTTGCATCTGCATGCAACATGATTGCTCCTCCTCCACTCCACTCCACTCTGCTGCAGCCTAGCATGGCTTATCATGGCGTAATTTGGTATCTGCATTTCACCTCACAGCTTCTTCATATGGCGTTATGGTTTCTGGCCGCTTGTGCTGTGCATGTGATGATATGGGCAACTGCGTTGGTGGGTGCTAGTGCTGTCAGAATGATTCCATTCGCATGCAGGATTGCTCCACTCCACTCCGCTGCATGCTTATCATGGCGTGATTTATTTGTTATCTGCATTTCAGCTCGCAGCTGTGGTTCCTGCAAATGGCGTTTTGGTTTCTGGCCGGGCCGATTGTGTTGTCGCCGCCCCCACGTGTCTGCCTGCAGACCCATGCATGGTACGCAACTTCGGCCCCAACGCGACATGGGTTATGCCATGACCAAAAGCGGCTGTGTTGATCAGTGCTGTGCTGGAATGTGTGACAAAGTCGATGCGCTTTATTTGTTACAGAGTGGTGGCGGCGTGTGGAGTGGCCAGGTAAGGCTGTCGTGTGCTACCATCATTGCGTGCTGTACTGGTAAAATGCGCTTTCAAATTCCATTTGCTTTTACTTAATTATTCCTTCATTTCCTAAAACTTCGCGTTTATTGTCCCTGTGACTCCTCCCCTCTCCTGGCAGACGCGTGCAAACTGCAGGCATGCGGTAAGAACGGCCGCTGTGTGAAGGATGAGGCGGGGACGGCGTCGTGTGTGTGTGACATTGGCTTCACGCTGCAAGATGACGGCAGGACGTGCACGGGTAAGGACGCTGTGCCTCGCTGTGCCTCGCTGTGCCGCGCTGTGCCGAGCTGTGCCTCGCTGTGCCGCGCTGTGCCTTGCTGTGCCGCGCTGTGCCGCGCTGTGCCTTGCTGTGCCGCGCTGTGCCTTGCTGTGTGTTGAGGTGTGCTCTTGCGTTCTTCTGTGTGTTGCTGCTGTGGGTTCAGTGTTCTTTGTGTGTGCTCTTCCTCTCTCCCTCTTCCCCGTTCCCTCTTCCTCTCCCTCTTCCTCTCCCTCTTCCTCTCCCTCTTCCTCTCCCTCTACCTCTTCTCTCGCACGTGCTCTTCCTTGTGCCCGTCCTCTCTTGTGCTCTCTCTCTCTCTGCCCCTATTCTCTCTCATCATCCTTGTTTCCTTTCTCGCTCACGCTCTCCCTCAAGGCCCTTGTTCCTTTTCTCCTCCCCAGATAATTGCATCCTTAAGTGGTGTGAGAAGCCCAAAACTTGTAGGAAGTTGGAAGACGGCACGGCGGACTGTGTGTGCAAGCCAGGCCACGCGCCGCTCTACGGCACTTGTGTTGGTACGTTATGTTGTTTTGATACCCTTGGATGGATTACAACCTCCGCCTGCCTCCCCCCCACACCACCTGCGTCCACTCTCATTCCTTCCTTGCTTCCTCCTTTGCATCGTTTCGCCCGTGCACACTACTATGATTGCTGACTTTTGAGTCGACTCAAAAGTCAACCCCGTGCACACTACTATGATTGCTGACTTTTGAGTCGACTCATAAGTCAACCCCGTGCACACTACTATGATTGCATGCTCTCATCTTATTCTGCCCCCACTGTATTTCCGTGCTGTTACATGCCTCTCTATCACACTATGCATCATGCTCATTGTGCTGTCATATGCTTTGTTGCGTGCATGCTGCCATCTATTTTAAACTGCTCCCCTTCTCCCCTCTTTGCCCAGCCCAGCCCAAGCACTAAGCTTCTCCCATTCTATTCTTCCTTCTCTCCTATCGTACAGACATATTCCCATTATTTCTCCCCCCCCCCCCCCCCCCCCCCCCCCCGCGCTCACCAGGGCCGACCACGTGTGGCAACTGCCCGTCCCTGGCCACATGCACGCTGGTTTCGTCCACCAGAAAGGCTCCTTACTGCACCTGCCCTTCTGGCTTTGGCATGACCGACACTGGTTGCATCAGTGGTAAGTCACGTGGAATAAGTCACGTGGAATAAGTCACGTCAAGTCAGTCACGTGGTAGGTCATGTGCGACGCCTCAAAACCAACCTTACCTCACCTTACTGCGTCTACCCTTCTGACTTTCGCATGACCGCCACTTGTTGCGTCGTGGTAAGGCCATTATGCTTGCATTCAATTATTACAAATTTTTTGCGTTTCTGGATAATCAAGGTGCTGGTTAAGCCAGGTTTATTTATCAATGGTGCATACATCCATGTCAAACATATACCCCCCTAAACCCATACCCCGTGCCAAACCCCATACCCTGATTTTCTGTTCTCCCACTTTCTGTTCGTGTTTCAGGTGCCCCAATGCCGCACCCCATTCCCCATGCCGCACCCCATTCCCCATGCCGCACCCCATTCCCCATGCCGCACCCCATTCCCCATGCCGCACCCCATTCCCCATGCCAAACCCCATACCCCATGCCGCACCCCATTCCCCATGCCGCACCCCATTCCCCATGCCGCACCCCATTCCCCATGCCGCACCCCATTCCCCATGCCGCACCCCATTCCCCATGCCGCACCCCATTCCCCATGTTGTTCCCCATTCCCCATGCCGCACCCCGTTCCCCATGCCGCACCCCATACCCCATGCCGCACCCCATACCCCATGCCGCTCCCCATTCCCCATGCCGCACCCCATTCCCCATGCCGCACCCCGTTCCCCATGCCGCACCACATACCCCATGCCGCACCACATACCCCATGCCGCACCACATACCCCATGCCGCACCCCATACCCATGCCGCACCACATACCCCATGCCGCACCCCATACCCCATGCTGCACCCCATACCCCATGCCGCACCCCATACCCCATGCCACACCCCATACCCTGATCTTCTGTTCTCCCTTTTTCTGTTTGTCTTTCAGGCGCCCTCCCAACCATCTCCTCAGCGAGTCTCACCTTGTATAACCAGCCTGGATATGCCTTGACGCCCTACACCTTCACCATGCGTGTGAACCACGTCGGATGCACCAACCTGCCTTATTACTATCTCCACCCGCAACCCCCTCCCCTCCAGGAGCCTCCCCAACCGTCTCCTCTACGAGTCTCACCTTCTACAACCAGCCGGAATATGCCTTGACGCCCTCCACCTTCACCATGCGTGTGAGATACTCCGGATGCACCAACCTGCCTTTGACAATCGCTCGCAACGTCCGGTCGTACTGGCGGGTGGACCGGGCACCAGGAGGAGCGGGGCACTGCCGGTTTGTCAACATGTATCGCTATGCCAACTGCGTTACACTGGTGGCTCAGCTGCCTGCCCTCTCACTCACCAACATCGATGCAGAGGGTGTCTCGTAAGTCATTACACCCAACCCAACCCGACCCGATCCGATCTGGTGTTTTCCATGTATTTGTCTCATTCCTGCCCTGCTTCAAAATCGTTATTGATTCTTGAAGCCACTCTCATGCCATGCTGAGAAGCCACTCAATACCATGCTGCCATGCACACCCACTTCTCCTCATGTGCGTTCGCTCCCTGCATGTACCCGTTTCTTTCTTTGTGTGCCTCTCAACAGACCCACATCAGCTGGCTTGCTGCTGTCTTTCATGTGTGTCCGCTAATCACCACACTTGTGGAATACTTATAAAGACCAGCAATCTAATTCGTTAAAATGAAGTGATGCTGCTTTTGAAGACAAAACGGCAGTTTGAGTCTGCAGTTAGATTGATGAAGTTAGACCAACTTGATGAAGGGGTCTGCTCTTTGTCTCTTGTTTGTTCTACGCTTATCCACCCTCGTAGATATCTCTTTAAATACCTTTTCTTCCTTTTTGAGGGTGGTGTGTGCACTTGTGTTTTTGTGCTTGTGTGTGTGGGTGTGCGAAATGTGTTGGGCTGATTAAGCCCTTCGGATCTTTGCAGGACTAAATTCTGGGTAGGAACAATGTAATACCGTCATCGCCCGGATGTAAGACATATGTCTTATCTCGCACACGGGCAAAAATGCGTGGGTTATCTTGTATTTGTTGGGCTGAAAAGCCCTAGGATCTTTGTAGAGTTAAAGTCTGAGTAAGTGATGTAATAGCGGAAGCGTTGAATAAAGTCCTTGAACCACCTTGCGCTAGTATGTGAGGGCAAAGTAAGTTGATTAAAGCAAAGAGATACAGGAATAAATATATGAGTACAAAGAATATGAAGAGACATTATGACTACTTTACTGTTGCGGTTCGATACAGTGCAACTCGGGCAACTGCTCAATGTCGAGTCAGTTGTGTGTCCTTGCTGTCGCGTTGCGTCAGGTCAAAGGTCGCTGACCTTTGAATTTCTCGTAACCTCCAGCGGTTACGTTAACTTCCAAGGGTTGACTCGCAATGCTTCGATTTGAGCTGCTTCGCTTGTGTCTTGAGTTTTGACACGACAGAGGCGCTTAAACTATTTGTTCCCAACACTCCCCTTCGCTTCTGGAGTATCGCTGATGGTGACGTGGCTTTGTCCAGTCAGCAGCATGCAGTACTCGAACTTCTGTTTTCCGAGCTTCTTGGACAAGTAGTTGAGAAGAATAGAACGAGAATGAAATGACTATGAACGAAGTGAGTACAAATAGGAAACCCTAATTGGGTTGTACCCCCTATGGGATACCCCACTATAGCCTACACAAATAAGTAAGCTATAATGTTCTGACACACCCCCATAGGCAAAGTGGGGGAGAACAAGGGGTCACAAGACCAGTCAAGCAAAGCAAAGCAAAGCTCAGGGTGGATCACAAAGTCACCACACATTCCGAGCACAAGTTCAAAGGCCAGAAGGCCAGTCCACATGCAAGATCATATACAGAGATGTACAAGAGTCAAGCAAGCAAGGGCAAGAGTATATATAGGTGAAGGTACAAGCAAGGTCAAGAAGTGAGCAAGTGAGGCAAGACAGGCACAAGACCCAGCTGCGTGCAGCAGCGCTGATGATCACAAGGCGCAAGTGCCTTGGTGAAGATATCAGCAGTGTTGGCCTCAGAGGCCACGTACGCAAGTCGCAACTGTCTACGCTGCTGTAGCTCACGAGAAAGAAAGTAGCGGAGAGCAATGTGCTTTGTCCTGTGCTCCAGTCGCTGCTCTCGACACAAGGCCAGCATGGCCTTGTTGTCTACGTACAGGACTGGAGGAGAACGAGGCGGCTCTCCAAGGCCGGTCAGCAGGTAGGTGAGCCAGCGAAGCTCCTGGGCAGCCATAGCCCCGGCGTAGATCTCAGCCTCACAACTGGAGCCGAGGATAGAAGACGAGCGGGTAGCCCGCCACGAAACAGAGCCGGAACCAAGGCTGAAGGTGTAACCCTGTGACGACCGCTGCATAGCCTAGTCGTCAGCCCAAGAAGCGTCTGCGTGCCCAGTGAGGACCACTGGACTGCGCCCTCCAAGCACTAGCCCCATGCCCGACGTACTGCACAAGTAGCGCAACACCCTCTTCGCTGCAGCCATGTGCTCTGGTCGGTGTCTCCCAGGAGCAATATAGCGTGCCAAGATGCTAAGAGGGTATGCAAGGTCAGGTCGTGTGCAGGTCATCAGGTACATGAGGCAGCCAACAAGCTCTGCATACGGGCCACTCGACTCTACGGACTCATCCGAAGGCAGAGCTGAGAGCGAGTGGCGAGTAGGCAGAGGAGTGGCCTGAGGCGAGGAGTACGTGTAGCCGAAGCGCTGAAGGACCTGCTGCACCATGTGTGACTGAGTCAGGGTAATGGTGCGGCGTGCTCTGTCCAGGGTGATCTGCAAGCCAAGGTAGCTGCGCAGTTCACCCAGGTCAGTGCACGTGTGTCTCTTCTGCAGCTCGGACTTCACGTAGGTGAGTCCAGCAGTGTCAGCTGTGGCAAAGACCAAGTCGTCGACGTACACGAGGATGTAGAACGGCGGCAGAGAGGTGTCGGTGCGCAGAAACAGCGACGGGTCGGCAGTAGAAGGAGCAAACCCAAGTGCCGCCAGCGTAGTCCTCAGTGTGTCGTGCCACTCACGTGGCGCCTGGCGGAGACCGTAGACTGGACGCCGAAGACTCCACTGGGTACCAGGAGGGAAAGACCTAGTGAAGCCAGGTGGGCGACGCAGCCAGATCTCCTCGTGCAGGCTGCCCTGCAAGAAAGCAGTGCTGAAGTCGAGAGAGTGCAGCTCGTAGTCACGGTGAGCAGCAACGTGCAGCAGTACCCGAAGAGTGGTCATCTTCGGGGTGGGAGAGAAGGTCTGAAAGTAGTCAACTCCCTGCCGCTGACTGAAGCCACGAGCCACGTAACGCGCCTTGAAGACAGGCGGAGAACCCGGCGGCCGCTTCACCCTGAAGATCCACATGCCACTGACTATGTTCGCCCCAGGAGGGGGAACAGCGTCAACGTAGGTGCCTGTGGACCTCCAGGAAGCCATCTCTGCATCCATAGCTGCCTGCCACTGAGAGGAGTAGGGACCCTCTATCGCCTCCGCGTAAGAGCGCGGAGTCGGGATGTCTAGTGCATCCGGGTCTCCCTCAGGGGCGAGCAGTACAGACGCGAGATGAGGTGAAGCGGCGGCCAGACACTGGAACTCCTCCTTCCTGTCCTCAAGGACGTCCGTGCCAAGGGCACACTCACCCCCGACGGACGGAGGACAGGCAGACTCAGACTCAGCGACAAGACTAGCAGCGTAGTCTAGACGACAGCGCGCAGCAAAGTCGACGAGCTCAGTGACAAGGGCAGACGCAGCAGAAGACTCGAAACAAGGGTCAGTGACGGCAGTAGCAAGGAGACGCGTGACAGTAGGACTGGCAGCACGAAGAGAGTCCGACTCCGGGTCGGCAAGAGCAGGAAGAGAGGAAGCAGGAGGAGAAGGCAAAGGGGCACGCAGAGGAGCAGTAGACGGACGTAGAGACATCCGGTGCGTGCCAGGGACAGGAGGAGGACGCTGACGCGAACCGCGACCACTAGTGCGCGCAGTACAAACAGGCGACGCAGGACGAGACGCAGGCTCACGACGCTCAGTAAGACCTCCAGTCGGACCAGCGTAGGGAGAAGGAGCAGGCAAAGGGGAGGCAGGTTGTAGCTGTGACTGTGACTGGACAGGCTGTGGACCCTCTAAGGGAGGAGGAGAAGGACCAGGAGAAGGTGTAAGACCAAGAACCTGTTGCAGGAGGGGAATGAAGTACGGTCTGGGCCGCGAGGCGACGCCAGAAACAGCAGGGACAGCACCAGTACCCCCAGCAGGAGTACCCGCTCCAGTAGCACCTCCAGCAGCACCTCCAGTAGCTCCAGAACCCCCAGTAGCACCTCCAGCGGCACCTCCAGTAGCACCTCCAGTAGCTCCAGAACCTCCAGCAGCACCAGGAGCACTCCCAGCCGGACCGCCAGCAGTAGTCTCAGCGCCAACACGCTCAGCAGCACCAGCTCCAGTAGAACCCACAGGCCCAGCAGCTCCAGTACTCCCAGTACGAGCACCTCCGGGACGCGCGGCAGCAGCACCCTCAGCAGCCGAAGAACCTCCAGCACCAGCAGCACGCCTCCAGCGCCGGGCAAACCACTCACGCAGCTCCTGCGGGGAGAGTGGCTCTCGGCGAGACGAAGCACCCGGAGAACCTCCAGGCGAAGCACCTCCAATCTCAGTACCCCCAGGCTCAGCACCCCCAGGCCTAGCACCCCCAGGCTCAGCACCCCCAGGCTCAGCACCCCCAGGCTCAGCACCCCCAGGCTCAGCACCCCCAGGCTCAACACCCCTAGGCTCAGCACCCCCAGACTCAGCACCCCCAGGGACATCACCCCCAGTCATAGCACCCCTAGGCTCAGCACCCACAGCAGCACCAGAGTCACCAGTGACCTCGACAGGCTCGACCGCGTCTACCTGGGACACACCTGAAGGGGCAGGACCCTGAGGGGGAAGG